AACCCCTCACTGATCCGTTGGGGCAGTTCAGTCCAGGAGTGGCCAAAAGGAAAGAGATTCCACGGTGAAGTTCTGATGCCACAGGGCAGGGCCCTTCTCCCTCACCCTACCCTTCCTCCAGGCTGTTGTAGCCCAAAACCACGTGCTCTCTGGGTTTCCAGCGATGGGACACACTGCCCGTATAAATGTGCACTGTGTCCATCACAAGGCTCTTCCGAAGAAAAGTGGCCAGAAAGGGCTCCAGCTCTGGGAGGCTCCAGGTATATGCGCATGGAGGCGGGCGAGGGGAGGCAACTGGTAGTCCTGGGGCCTGCCCTGAGGCCTGCCCAAGGGCACTTGGCCCAGCACTGCAGGATCCTCTGAGTGCTAGCAGCTTAACAGGGAGCCCCCAGGGAGTGTCTGGGACAGACCGAGGGCCTAGGGAGGGGAGCTTTCATGTGTGACTAAGGCACAGAAAAGATGGGCCATGGGGCCAGATGAGGCAGGACACCAGGCCCTGTGTGGAGACGGGGCCAGGAAGAGGAGTCTGGAACCACTCCCACCTCCTGGCTCCCCTCCGCTGCATGCCCCATCCCTCCACCCTCCTTACCAGCAAGGCTGTGCTCCTCTGGAAGCTGGTCTGAAATGCTGAGACTCAGACCCTCCCCCTAAAGCAGGAGGGAGAAGCCCCAGGGAGAGACCGGGAGCCAGCAGAGACGCTGATTGCTCAGCCTGACAGGGAGGTTTGGGAGCCACTGACCCTTTGAGCAGCTGGGAAGCAAGGGCTCTCCCCAAAACACTCTCAAGAAGGACCCCAAGTGGGAGGGCAGTGTGGGCTGCCAGCTGTCCTCAGCAGGCAAGAAGGGGCAGGAGGCGGGCAGAAGGTGCAGCCACAGAGAGGACACTCAGGAGCCCAGAGACCCCTGCCTTGTGGGGCTTGGAAAGGCCACAGCCCAGAAGAGGGGCCCACTTGCTCCCGCACATCCTTCCGAGGTGGGACCCATGGCTCTTGATGTCTGGCTCCGATCCTTGCAGCATGCCAGGCAGGCCTGGGTCAGGAAGAGGGTCCACAGAGAGCATCTATGTTCCTTCCTCCTTCCTCCTGCCCAAGGTGAGGCTAATCTAGCATCAGACAAGGGTGGACAGAGAGGGAACAGGCAGGAAAGAGCCCAGGTCAGAGTATTGCACGGTGTTTGGGGGAGGGGCTGTAAGTCTCGTGGGGGAAGGGCTGAGAAGGCTGCAGCCGCTGGTCCACAGCACAAGCATCTGGGCCTGGGCACGGCTGGTCCCAACATGCCACCACCTCAGGATGAGCTGCAGGGGCCTGGGAGTCACTCCCAGTGTCCTCTGCTCCTCGCCCAGGCAGTAGAGCCTTGGCATTGTATAAATATTCCTGAAGGCTCCTGGGTGAGCCTGGGCCGGCCCCTGGACAGACAGCGTCTGGCTGTTCCTCTGGAAGCGATATGTGAGTGTTTCTGGTCCAATAAATTAAAGGGCAATGCCAAAGCTGTGCCCGCCTGCCTCCCGGTCCAGACATGAGGCTGGAGGTGGGGCACACCCTGCCCGGGGCCGAGGCGCCAGTCCTTCCCCACCAGCAGCCGCACCTAGAACTCGTCATCGGAGCTGAGCAGGAGAGTCTTCTCGTTGTCGCGGGCACCGCTGAGGCTGTGGGAGCGTGAGAGGCCGTGCGCGCCCCCGCGCCAGGTGGGCCCGGGCTCCAGGGTGGACTGCTGAGTGTACTGCTGGTAGGCGGGAGAGAAATTGTGGATGGCGTCCTGCACGATGTCGTGTGGGTTCATGGTCTCTTTGAGGCTGCTGGAGATGCTCTTCATGGGGGCACAGCGGCCTGCAGGGTGGGAGGCAGGGGGGCAGTGAGGGGAAGGGGCAGAGGGGACAAGGCTGCTTGGCCCCAACCCTGGTCCTGTACCCCCCCCACCCCAAGGCTGTGTCATGTAACCAACCACTCCTGGGACACAGTATGGGGTCCGAGACACGAGAAGGGACAAGGAAAGAAATGGTTCCTTTGGCTGGGGTGCAGAATGGAGCACAGCCCCACAGGGAGAAGGTAAGCAGCCACTGGGGAAAGTCTGGCAGGTGGGAAGGGAGCTGGGGTGGAGGTTGGCACACTGCAGGCATTTGCCCAGAATACCCCGGGGGGCCAGGACAAGCTACACGCTGACTGAGGACAGGCAGCGTGGGGGGGGGGCAGGCTTCAGGGAAGCTGGCCCTTGTCCCCCTCACCTGCGGATGCTCCCTTTCACTCTGAGGAGTGGGCCACAGACCCACAGCGGAGCCAACATTTTTGCTCTGAGAGGGCGGGGGTCACCTGCATTGAAGTGCTCCCCCCTAATTCCCTAACTGTCCCCATGGGCTCTAGGGGGTAGAAATGGCCCAGGCCTCAAAACCAAGATACAAGAGGTGAGCCTGACTCTGGCCCCAGATCTTCAGACTCAAACGTGTATGCTCTTTCCACCTTCCCACTCTGCCCGGAAACTAAATGTCTCGATTTCCCGTTAACAAGCACTCTGCCCTCAGACTGCGCAGGGCGTATTCCAGAGCAATGAGAGACCAGGACGGAAGGAGGCAAGCTCTATGGAGGGCAGCCCTCGGCGGGCAGGTGCTCTGGCTCTGCCACCCAGGGGTGCCTGTGAGGGAGGAGACGGGGACATAGAGAAGGAACTAGGGGGAGACGCATGCTGATGACAGGGACCAGGACTGACGTGCAGGACAGACGTGCAGACTGAGAGCAGAACCTACCGTAAGGGCCATATGTCGGCACTGCCCGCGGCCAAACCCGGGGCAAAAGCAGGGCAGGGGAGGGGAAGGGAGCCAGAGAAATAGAGAAGACAAGAGACAGCTGAGTGAACACCACGCGCCCACCACCGAGGCCGGCACCGCACAGCACAGCACACCCTGCCCGCCCCGCCCCAGCCCTGCCAGCACTCAGGAGGACCCAGCTGCCCTCTCAGGGCTGGGCGGCGGGGGGGGGGTGTCCACCTAGGAGATGCCTGTGTGGGGCTCACACTTTCTTCTGGTTGGGGGACAAACAGCGGACACCCAGAATGGTGGTCGGAGTTCAGCCTCTGCACCTAAGTAGGGACCCCCACCCCTGTTCCTCTTTAGGCTTGGCTGGAATTGCTGGGCCGGCACCATGTGCTTTACAGGCCTCACAACACTTCACAGGATGTCACGGAGTGGGTGGCTGACTTGTGCAGACCACACCGCAGAGCCAGCTTTGCGCCCAAGCCTGACCGGAGGGCTGAGAGGGGCCGGGCGCCTCGGTTAGCAGGTGGACCACATGCCCAGGACCAGCAGGGCGGTGGGCAAAGGCGGGCAGCAGCTTTCCCTGGCTGGGCTGGGCTGGCGTCCCTGCTAGAGCTGGATTCCTGGCCATGCTGTTTCTTACTGGGGGTGGATGTGTCTGGGGCAGTGGGTGGGAAGACAGCCAGGCGTCCTGGGAGAGCCTTTGCAGGGCCAGCAGTGCAGATACAATGTCTTAAAGCCCGTCTTAAGGGTGCAGAAAGAGTTCTCAGCCATGGCCTCAGGCTCTAGGCACAAGGGTGACCTTCCCAAGTGCCAGGTGGAACAGATATCGCCCTCAACACTGGGTAGGAGTCACCCAGATCCTTCCAACTGGCAGCCTGGCGGGACACAGGTGAGATAGGAGCAGGTAGAGGTGAGCCCTGGCCAGCACAGCGCCTGCCACTAAGTGTAGATTCAAAACTAGAAAAAGTGCCTCGAGCGCCCAGCCAGCAAGTGTGTTGGGAGAACAGTCAGGTGCCAGAGTCGAGAGGCCTGGAGAGCAATTCAGCCACACGCCTCCAGCAGCCTCAGGCGTTTTAAGGCCTCTTCCCAACCAGGGAAAGAACATGGCAAGGTGGGAGGCGGGCGGCCAGGGAGCCCTGTGCAGGCCAGGAAGTCGCTTCTACGCTCTGCTCAGCACGCCGCTCCCCAGGGCCTGTGGTGGGCACAGGTGGGGGACCTGGACAAGTGGGTCCCTCCTCCAGCCACAGGGCAAGGGAGCTGGCAGCAGCAGAACCCTCGAGTGGGCATGTTAGACAGGAGGCCCTCCTGCCCCCTCACTGGGTAAGTTGTTTCAGGCATTCCTGCCTCCTCTTCCTCATCCCTCTAGTATCCCCTCTCTGCCCAGCAGCAGCCAGAGGCATCCCCCAGACCCTGCTTCTCCGGCCAGCACGGAGAACCACTCAGGGAGCTCTAAAAGCACATCCTGCCGGGCTCAAACCCAGGCCAGTCAATGCAGAGTCTCCAAGGCTGGGGCCCGGACAATGTGGACTTTCAGAAAGCTGTTAAAAGCTATACCATCTGAGTCTGTTTCTTGGAAGTAATCAGGTTTATAAAAAGGAACTTTAGAGACAAGGGAATCGTAGGACAAAATAGGTGATGGTGTTCAAACAAGTTAGGAACTTGTTTATTCTCGGGTCTCTGTCCTGACCTTCCATGGGATACTGTGCTATATCATCTCGAGGTCTCCGTACTCCAGACCTGCTGCGAGAGATAGATGAATCTAGCTTCACACACACACACACACACACACCCCCTTGTGACAGGAGACAGGGGAGCCTTGATCTCTGTGGCCCCTTTCCTACACGTAAGCCAGGGATCTGTCCCTGCAGGACCCTGAGAGGCAGGAGGGATCCTGAGGAGGGGCTGGGGAGCACCCTTCCCGCTGGTCTCAGGACCGTGGCTCATACCTTGTGCGTCCAGCCTCTTGTCGGCATAGACCTTGTAGGTGAAGGCGTGCCGCAGGGCCAGAGCTGCAAAGAACATCTCCACGCAGATGATGAAGTCCTGGTAGCCAGCAGCCACTGTGCCCTCGCCCACCGACACGCGGGCCGAGTGAATCTTGGGGATGGCCCCACACTTCTCCAGGATGGCCAAGAGCATGCCTGGAAGGGAAGATGTGGAAAGAGAGGCATCGGCATCTGGCCCCAGAATGGACCCCCTTCTCGGTCTCCCCTCCTCCATACAGCCCGCCAAATGACATGCCCCCAGGAGGATGGAAGCAGGGTCCACAGTTGCTCCTGTTGGGCAGAGAGGCTGACACAAGCCAAGGCCTCAAGAAAACCCCATCCCTCCAGTTCCTGGCTGATAACACCAAGACATCGCCTCGAGTCCCCATCCATGAAGCAGTCCCACCAAAGCTCATGGCTCAGATGTCACAGCCCACAGCTGCTCAGTGGACAGAGGTCCCTTGAGCTCCAGGCCAGGATCACCCAGGGACAGCCCCATGGCCTGGGCCCTAGGGTCACTGGGGATGGTGAGCAAGAGGAAGGAGACAAGGCTTAGGAGACAGGGAGGCACAGGCTAGCCTCACAGGGGCTGGGAGGAGGCTCACCTTGCCAGAAGGAAAGAAAGATGACAGACTTGACCATGAAGAACTTGAGGACAGGGCTGTAAGGGCTGAGCAGCTCCCGGGTGGCGAAGTAGAAGAGGAAGAGGGCGTAGAGGGCCAGGCTGACCGAGACGTTGTAGATGATGGTCACGTAGAGGTAGCCGCTGGTGGCACTGTGGGGACATGGAGCAGTCTCTGGCTTGAACAGACCCTTCTTTGGGACAAGGACCCCCCTGCCCTTTGCCCTGACTATATGCCATCCCCATGGCTCTCAGCAATGCTTCTCGAGCCACCAGAGAGGGGACAGGTGATCAAAGTGGTCGAAACACTATAGGGAGCGTGAGGGTGAGCACCAGCAGAGCAGGCCGGCCCTGCCACCTGCAGCCCTGGTGCCCATGCTCCTGGCAGAGGACTCCAGGTATCCTCTGGGGCAGGGGCTGCAGCCTGATGGTCAGAGTGACATGCAGCTTGGCTCTGCTCTTCTCACTTGAGCCAAGTTACATCCCCCACTGAGTCTGTTTGCTCACCGGCCCCTGGGTGCTGCTGTGCAAGGCATGGGTACAAGTATGTGTGAAGTGCATGCAAGCTCAGGGCCTGGACACGCGGTCACTTACATTAACTCCAAAGTGATGTGTGTGTGTCAGTTCCCACAGGAGAGGAGACTGGAGACGGGCCTCTCAAGGCTCTGACCCTCTCGTGCCCTGCCTTGGGAATAGTCACTGTCCCTTCATGGCCCACCCCCGGGGCACCACTCTGCAGTCTGTACATGAACATGATGGACGCTGAGTGCTCACTCCTGTGCCGGAGGCGGGGCCAAGAGTGATGGCCATCGTGACTCAGGGGTGCAGGGAGGCGTGAGGGAGGCCAGGGTCAGGATTGGTCTCCACTCAGAGGAGGAAATGAGTGAGGGCCAGTCTGTGGCCACCCCATTCTCTTAGCCAGGGCATTAGCCTCTGGGAAGGGCCACCCACTCTTCCCCACACACGCCGCAGGCGGACCCGCTGCTTACTCAAAGTCACCGTCCCGGTACTTGCCGAAGGCCTGGAGGACCACGGTGCTAACAGCCATGAGCGGCTTCACCACGCAGAACTGTAGTGTGGCCTGTCGGAGGAGAAGGTCAGGGGTCAAGGATGAGCACAGAAACCATGGAGCAAGCACCTCCACCAGCCAGCTGGGCCTGTGCTGGATGCCAGGGGACAGGGGTCAGGGGAGGCCCAATGTCCTGCCCCCGGGGGAACCGCTGCATGAGAAGACAGAAGGACGTGAAGGAAGAATGGCGGAGGAACAGAGGAGCAGAAGACAGAGACACCGCCAGGGAAGGGGCCAGCAGGAACATCCCAGAGAGACAGGGACCGGGCAGAGGGAGCAGCTCATGGCAAGGCCCAGGGGCAGACAGCAGACAAGTGCGCGGCATTAAGTGCTGGAGGAGGTGGCCACACACAGGGAGCAGAGGTGGGTGAGGGCCTCCTCGTCCACCCCAGGTCTGGCTCCCTGGGCCTGGGCCTGGGGTTTATGTCGAGCTGGGGTCTTCCTAGGGATGGAGATGACCCACAGGAGTGCAAAATAGGAAGCAGCCCAAAGCACAAGGTCTGGAGTCCCAACATCTGAGTGTGAATTCTGGCCTCGCCAACTACCAGCTGTAGAAGTTTGAATGGATGGTCACTTAGCCTCTGAGTGGCCACTCATGATAAATGGATGTAACCAGCCCCATGTCGCTGGGCCACTGTGCGGGGAATGAAGAATCAGACAGCACAGGCTGTCCTTGGAGGTCTCCCACCTCTGAGCACTCATTAGAGGCCTCAGCTGCTGAAAGAATCCCTCAGCCAGGTTTCCACGAGTCCCTACAGAGACCTCAGGAAATGCCAGGGGTACCCATGGTGCCCATAAAATCACTGGAATCACCATTCTCTTGAAACCAAACAAATCAAGCCACAAGGCCCCTTCTGTGGAGGTGGGTGCAGTTTAAAAGGCTAAGCTGTTGTGGCTCCCAATGGGGCAAGGACCCCGGAGCATAGTTACCTGTGGAAACCCCGGGTCTCTGCCCCGAAAGGGGCTCCAGCGAGGTTTACAGGGGAGCCCCAGGTGGCCTGAGTTGTGGGGCTGCCAAGAGGTGAGGCATGTGTGGCGGAGCTGGAGGGGCAATGCTGCGGTCAGTGAACACCACAAAACTCCCCAGGCCCCCACTCTCTAGAAGAAGCGGGACCAGCACGCTTTGGGGAAAGGGAGTGAGCGCTGCGAGCCTGCCGAGAGGCCGGGGCTGCCCTGGGTCAGGTCGCTTGGTGTTCTCAACAGCCCCATGACTAAGTACTGTCGTCATCCCCACAGTGCAGCTAGGGAAACTGAGGCACGGAGAAGCTGAAATGCAGGAGCAGCAAACTCTCCAGGAGACTCAGAACCCCAGGCGCCACCCTGCCAACAAAGCTGCAGTGTCCTCTCTCCCATGGGAAAGGGGTAAAGAGGCCTCTTCTGTCCTTTCCTTTTACTACCTGTCTCTGCCACCTCCGGGAAGGCAGAACATCTGAGCCCACGGGGCTGGGAAATAACTTACAACAAGGCAACCTAGCTAGTAATCTGGGATCAAAACTTCATACACAATCTAGTCATCAAAGAAAGCAGTGAGTCACAGCTGGACGAACGGCTGGTAAACAACGGCTCTGAAAGGCCCCACCCCAAACCCAGGACAGTTTGAACTCTTTCCCCCACAGGTCCTGTGGGGAGACTTTGAATTTAGAAACACCCTCGGAAAGGATGGTCTGGAGGCAGAACTGGAGCCTGGGACGTCCAGGCAGTGCTTTGCGGGTGTGCCCGTGCCACGGGCATGGCCCCGCACAGGAGAGCAAGCCAGCCCTCGGGCAGGTCACAGTGATCATGGGTTTCATTTCCCCTCTTGATGACACTGGGTGACGCTGGAGGGGTTGACAGGCCCTGTGAAGCCCCAGAGGAGATTAAGTCCAGGTCACACTGACTGGGTGTGGTGCTGAGCAAGACACAGCGGGGCTCTGAGCCAGAGCTGTGTTAAGTGCTATCTCTCACCTGTTCCTTAAATCATCCCTTGAGATAAGTATCATTATGCTCACTTTATGAAAGAGGAAACTAAGGTCCAGAGAGGTTGCGTAACCTATCCAAGATCACACCGTCAGAGGAGAAGCTGGAAATCAGACTCACTTGGCCAGTCACCCAGGCCCATGGACTTTAAGCACAACACCACATCGCCTCCAGCCAGGCCACTCTAGACCACAGGGAGGGCAGCTCTGGAAACTGGAAGCTGCTGGCCTGACTGCCAGGTGGGAAATGGGGTAAGAGACCAGAGGCTGCACAGAACTGTTCCGTCATGTTCTTTAATGCAGAACCCTCCTGGCCTCTAGCCGCAGCTGATGAGAATTTTTCAAACCGAGATTCTAGAATCACCAGGCACTTCCTTGGATTCTCATGCACAACAAGGCTTGGTCAAAGTGAGCAAGAGTCTGGGACCACTGCCTGCCCAGGGCTGAGTCAGACAGTCCCGGGACACCTGTCTCTGCCCCCTTGAGCACATCCTGCCAATGCAAGTGCATCCCTAACAGCTTGGGGAGTGGGTGCTGGGGCTTGGGGTGCCTCGTAGGAAGTGGGAACCCCACAAATGGGCCCTGCTGCAGGGTCCTCCCGGCCCTAGGCCAGCCTTTGCCACTCTTTCAACCAGGGGCAGGACGGCCCCTGCAGCTGCTACTCCAGGGCACAGACCCAGGCTCCTGGTCCCCTGCCTGCAACTCTTGATCAGGGCAGTTGCTGGGGTACACACCTGCTTGCAGAACCGCAGGAATCCGATGGAGTAAGTCTTCCCCCAGAGGCAGCATGTGCCATATACACAGCTGGACCTGGAAGAGACAAGCGGAGAAGGGGCTGGTGAGCTGAGAGCCAGGACTCAGGAGGGTGGGGCTGGAGAAGGCCACCCTCCTTCACATTCAGGGTACAGTGGGGTAGGGTGGGGATGGGGCTTGGACCCTGGGCAGTCTTTGAGCCAAGCATGGAGAGAGACACAAGAGAGCATTTCCATGTGTAGCAGGGCCTGCGGGAGGGAGCAGGGTGACATTAGCCTTGGGGTAACAAACCAACTTGAAAGGCACTAAATGTCAAAACTGCAAGAAGGAAAAACAGGCAAACAGGAAAGGACAGGAAGAGAGAGGAGAAAGAGCCAAACAGGCCCTTCCAAGAGTCCCAGTGAATGGCCTCACTCAGGAAGTGTGGGAGAGGCACAATAGGTCAAGGTCATGGGCAGACGTGGTCTGTGTGACCAGTTGACGCCAGGACAGCTCAGAGAACGTCAGGCCAAGGAAACAAGGTGGTGTGGGAGGCTCCCGGGGGGCTTCATACTCACTCAATGGGCTTCCCTCTGATCTCTGACATGATGGAACTTTCCCCCCCAAGGTATTCATAGCACAGGCTCAGGAAGTTATAGATGACCAAGGCTGTAAAAGAATGTACAGAGAAAACCACTCAAGTCAACAGGATGGATAAACAGATGGTGGAATTCTAAACAGCAACGAAAGTGAAAGAACCAGTCACAGGCAGCAATAGGGGGACCTCATGGACAGAAGACTCTATATGGTGAATATTCCATTTGTAATTGAAATCAGGCACAGCTAAATCATGCTGTTCAGGGATGTGTACACACACTGCTGGACAGACCAGAAAGAAGAGCAAGAAAGTGATTACCACCAAATTCAGGATTGCGTAGGGAGGCCGGAAGAGAGGAGATGTGGATGGGCGTGCTGGGGGCTTGGGGAGCCGGCAGCATGCACATTCTGGGGCTCAACGGGTGTTGGCTTTATAATTATTTATTGGCTTTATAATTATTTCTTAGCTTTATGTTCTTTTCTGTTTGTGTGTTATAGATCTCAGTTTTATGACAAAGCAAAAATAAAACATTCTCCAGAGAGATCGCAAGAGAAATTCTAAGCAAGAATGAGACAAAACCTTTATGCATTCAACAACATCTTACTATACACAGCACTATGAGCTGTAACAAAACATGATAGATGCACAAAATACACTGTGAATGTCTTGGGAAGTGGGGCCAGCTGGTTCTGAATTGGGACGTGGTTTGACATCCCCCACAAAGACACAAAATTTGCAACAGCAACATGGCACAGTAGAAGTATGCTATAAATGCTATAAATACAGCATGACGTTGTAATTGGTCTCCCAGTCACAGGACTTCTGCTGGGTCAGCAAAATGAAGGCTGCTGCCTACAGGGAAGCACACAGATGTGCCGGAGTGAGCGGGAGGAGGAGGAGCACAGCAGGGGATGCTGTGCAGGAAAGATGCAGGAGGAAGATCGGGGCCTAGAGCAGGGGGACAAGAGAGGCATACAGCATGGGAGTCAGGCCAAGGGGAGGGTCAAAGCAGGTCAGGGGATAAGATCAAGGGAGAGGCACCAGCAGCCCTGCAGCCAGAGGGCTCATCTCATCTGACCCTGACATCCCTGTGCGGCTGAAAGGCCTGGCTCCACTCAAGGGCTTACAGCCAGTCGCTTGGTCCCCACCCACCCATCACACTTCCCACCCAGCAACACTAGATGCCCCCTCTCCCTCTGCAGAACCTTGTGCCTTCCGTGCCTCTGCCCTCACCGACCCCACGCGTGGGCACCCTGCCCTCTACACTCCTAATACCATCAACCCATTGGACACACCCACCCTGAGAAGTCCCTGGCCACCACCATGGAGGCCAGTGCCTCCTCACCCACAAAACCTGCTGATCTGCAGACGCCGTGCAGTCCTTCCTCCCTTCGAGTGTGATCACCGACTGGTGTCACAGGACTATGGCCCCTGAGGGGAGCCTGCTTCTCCCAGGAGCACGGGCCCGGCACTGGGCATGTACTAAGCACACCACAAACACCTGATTGCCTGGAACTGGAGCTCATAAGATCCTGGCAATACATTTGTAGGTAAAAGCTGGCCTTCAGCACCTTGGAAAGGAATATATTTGAGGGCTGGACGCCACTCAGTCACTCTGATCTATTGAGAGCTCATATCTGGGGCTGGGAACAGGGGCGGCAGAGAGCAGCCTGTGTAAACATGACCCACAGCACCTACCACACTGTATTGCAGGCATCCCCTTCCAGACACACAGCAGAGAGTGTGCAATGTGGCTCTGCTGTGATACTGAGCCAGAGATAATGTGGCATGTGATGAGAGCATGGTGACGGGACAGGGGAGGCCGCCAAGGAGGAGGTGGCTCTCTGTGGCTGTTTCCTCATCTGTTAAATGGGGACAGCAGGAGCACCTACCTGGTTAGGGCGGCGTGGGCTTTCTGTGAGTATGCAAAGTGCTCAGAAGAGTGGCCAGTGCTGGGCCCTGCTCTCAGTGCTGGCTGTCATGGCCACTACTGTTTATCTGCCTGCCTTCCTTAGGGGCCTGCTGTCCCCTGATGGGGCTGAGGATTCTGTGTGCTGCCCGCCTGGCATGGCAGCAGCTCAGGATGTAATCTCCACTGACTGGGCTCCAGATCACTCTCCACTGACAACTTTGGGGCATCTGAAGGTGGAGGATGGGGGGGGGGAATCAAGCCAAATCTGATGTCAGCCTGCTAATTAATAACCTTTGTCCAAACCAGCCAAGTAGAGTGGCTGTGTCCATTCCAACCTGGGCAGAGCTACAGTGTGGTCGATGGTATTTTCCAAAGGCAGCCACATCCCGTGATGAGGCACTCCTCTGCTGACATGGGGTCTTTGTCCCTCTTCATGCATCTGGGGGAACTGGGGTGACCATAGCGGAAGTGACATCTGATGTAACATCTGATGCTGGGGTTAGAAAAAGCCTCTTTTCTCTGGCTTCTCTCTTGAGATGCTTTCCTGTCCGTGGACCCAGCCACTAAGCCACGAGGAAGGCCAAGCTAGCCCACATGGAGAAGGTGTGGGAGGAACCGAGGCCCCCAGCTGACACCAGCATCAACTGCCCGACATGTGAGTAACCCAGACTTCAGGTGACCCCCTCCCCCAGCCTTCAGGCTCTCCATCTGAGGCCCAGGTATCATGAAGCAGGGCCAAACCATCCCCAGCATGCCCGGCCCCAGCTCCTGACCTGCACTATCCATGAACAAATAAAACTAGTCTGTTTTGGGGTAGTTATGTACACAGCCACAGTAAGTGGGATGCACATAAAACCACTTCTGGAGTTCCCAGGACGTGCCACAATCTCTCACACCTCCCCTTGGTAGCACATTCTGGTCTTTGCTAAGTCCCAGTGGCAGAACCAGCTGAGATGCCACCTCCTCCATGGTAGCCCCCTCTGCCCTGTCACCACACTCACATCACCTACCACAGTATCTCTGCTGATCCGTCTGATCCTTCCAGTACAAGAGGCAGTGGCAGCATAAAGCAGTAGGAAAGCCGTGGATTCCGAAGCCAGACTGCCCGGGTGTGGACAGTGGTTCCACCACCGGGAGCCGTGTGGTCTCAGGCAAGTTGTTTTGTTTTTTTTTCAACTTCACATATACAGTTTTTTTTAAGTCTTTCCATTATTGTTTATTACAAGACATTGAATACAGTTCCCTGTGCTATACACATGCAAAACACATTGTTGTTCATCTATTTTATACACAGTAGCTTGCATCTGCCAATCCCAATCTCCTAATTTATCCCTCTGCCACCCCACTTTCCCCTTTGGTAACCATAAGTTTGTTTTCTATGTCTGTGAGTCTGTTTCTATTGTGTAAATAAGTTCATTTGTATCACCTTTTAGATTCCACATTTAAGTGATATCATACGATATTTGTCTTTCTCTGTCTGACTTACTTCTGACTTAGTATGATCATCTCTAGGTCCATCCATGTTGCTGAAAATGGCATTATTTCATTCTTTTTTATGGCCGAGTAATATTTCATTGTGTATAAAGCCCGTATCTTCTTTCTCCATTCATCTGTTGATGACATTTAGGTTGCTTCCATGTCCTGGTTATTGTAAATACTGCTACCATGAACAGTGGGATGCATGCATCTTTTCGAATTAGAGTTTTCTCTGGATAAGCCCAGGAGTGGGACTGCTGGATCCTATGGTAAGTCTAATTTTAGTTTTTTAAGGAATTTCCATACTGTTTTCCATAGTGGCTGCATCAGTTTACATTCCCTTTTCTCCACACCCTCTCCAGCATGTATCATTTGTGGACTTTGTAATGATGGCCATTCTGACTGGTGTGAGGTGATGCCTCACTGTAGTTTTGATTTGCATTTCTCTAATAAACAGCAAAGTTGAGCATCTTTTCATGTGCTTATTGGCCATCACTATGTCTTCTTTAGAGAAATGTCTATTTAGATCTTCTGCCCATTTTTTGATTGAGTCATTTGATTTTTGTTATTGAACCATATGAGCTGTTTGTGTATTTTGGAAATTAAGCACTTGTAGGTCACATCATTCGCAAATGGTTTCTCCCAGTCTGTACGTTGACTTTTTTTGTTAATGGCTTCCTTTGCTGTGCAAAAGCTTATAAATTTGATTAGGTCCCATTTGCATATTTTTGCTTTTATTTTTATTGCTTTGGAAGAGAGACCTAAGAAAACACTGCTACAACTTATGTCAGAGAATGTTTTGTCAGGCAAGCTTCTTAAGCGCTCTGTGTCTCGGTCTTCTCCTCTCCAAGCCGGGGATAACCACAGCTCCTTCCTGGCGGGGCTGCTTTGAGGACAGGGGTCAGGGTGGGAGTGTGACGCCTTATCTGTAAGGCTGTGTTCACACTGAACAGTCCATAGTGTTACCTATTGTTTTGTCAAGACTGTAAAGACTTTGCAGGCAGGAACTGAGACCCACCCCCCACAACTACCAGAGGGCCGGGCCCCCCCACAATCAACAGGAAGGAAGGAACAAACAGACAGACACGGGCCAGAGCTCCAGGTCTGAGGCTCAGAGAAGCAGGGCAGATGGGTGTGGACCATACTCAGTCCTGAGCTCAAGAAGCTCACCTTCTCAAAGGCTGAGAAGCTGCACCTTCCCCAAGGTGACCAGACTTCTGGTTGCCAAAGACAAAACCCTCCAGAAAAGCCACAAGGGTCCAAGAATCATCAGCCCCTCTGTCCAGAACCACCAAGCTAGGCTGGCCAGCAATCCACTCCGGGGAAGCATTTGATGCCTGAGCTCACATCTTTTCCTGTGTCGCAACCTACGTCAGCACACTCCCGGACTACGTGGTTGAGTGGTCTGTCCATGTCCAGCTCTGCATTCAACTGGTCAGAATCATCAGATTTCATCCATCTCTCTCAGTTCAGGATTCCTGACCTTTTAACAGTGCTCTGGGGCCAGCCAGTCTGTAAAATACCAATTTGCTGATGGTTTCCGTTAAAGATACATTAGTGAGTCAATAATGATTCTCAGAGAAGCGAGACAAGACAATCTCCTTGAGATGAGTCAACCAGCCCACACCAAGACCCACTGGCCATCTGGACAAATCCATGCCCTTCTTAGGAAATGACAGAGCCATGTAAAGCACCACCCCACACCCTGGCAAGAGTGTTTAAAACAGACAACTCAACACACACCCCAGGAACACACACAGAGACATCAGAAGAGCAATAAAGGTTAGGAGTGGGGTTCTCAGGCAGCAGCCTTGTCACCTGGCCACCCTTCTGACCACAGCTCCAGTTCTGGTCCCTTGGAGAGGCCGCAGACACACAGGTGACCAAGGGACCCACAGGGAGCACCCAGAATGAGGAAAGATGCTCTCTCCCTCCCCCTCCCCACCCTGAAATGAGAAAGAATGGGGAGAAAGGTACAAGGAGATGGCACCAGAGGCAGCAGACAAGGGATGTTGACAAATGCTCTGGAAGATGCGCAGTGACCACTGAGCCCGGGGAGGGGAGGGAGCCAGTGAGAAGCCCAGGAACCTGCAGCGCTGGGTGCACCAGGCCGTTCTAGTGGCTGGGGGCGAGGGTGCAAATGGGAAAACTGGCTCCACATGGAGCTCTTGGGTTTTTACTTTCAGGACAGGTTGAGATGGTTCTGTCCTCAAAAAACTTGGCCCAGCTGAGGGCAGCAATGAGGAGACTTGCAGAAAACACAGAGATGAAGTCTGAATAGGAAGGGGAGATGTCCAGGGCCCCTCCCCACCCCGCACACATAACTCAGCCCCTCAGCTCCTACCTCCCAGGCCGGAGATGCGAACATTATTCTCTGAGGAAACAGGCCCAGAATCAGAGCCTGCCCCACCACCGCATGAAAAGGGCAGAGGAAACGCCCCCTGTCCTATCACCCAACTGGGAGGAGGCTCGGGAGCTTTAATCCCCATTCTTAAAGATAAAAAATAGCCAAGGACACCAAACATTTGAGGAGAGCTTCTAACCCAAAGGTTAAAGAGCAAAAGCAAACAAACAGATAGAAGGAACTCAGGAAACAGAGATAATGCAGGGAACAGACGAAAGCTGCAATCAGCATCCCCAGGGAGAGAAGAACCAACACGGAGAACAAGGGGCTAGGGAAAACGGGCGGGGATGGGCTCCTGACACCCTACAGCATGATAAGGGAAATAAAGCCCTCAACAGAAAAGCTCAAAGGTAAACGGTTTTTAAATAGGAAAAAAAATTAAAGTTCCTAGAAAGCAGAACAAAAAAGAGCTGGAAAACTGAAGAAAATCTGAAGCTCAATCCCGAAGTGCAGCATCCTACTAACAGGAGTTCCAGAAAGGGATAACAAACCGGAGCTGGAGACACTATCCAAGAGACAGACAAGAAAGTTTCCCAGACCTTAGGGCAGAAGTTGCTTCCATACTGAAAAAGCCCACCAGGTGCCCTGCACGACGAACACCCCACCTCTTGTGAGGTGTCAGAACACCGCGGAAAAAGGCAAGATCCTAAAAGCTGGGGGGGAGAAAAAAGGTCACATACAGGCATTAAGATCAGAATCCAGCAGACTTTCCAAAAAAACATTGGAAGCTAAGAGATAGTGAAAACCGGGCCTTCAAAATTCAGAAGAATGATTTCCAATTTAGAACTACATTCCCATTGAATACCAACCAGGTAGAACAATATAGTAAAAGATGTTTGTGATAACTTTCAGATTTCCAAAAAAGAGAACTCTCAGGCACCATTTTTCCTCAGGAAGCTTCTAGAAGATGTTTGCTAACCAAAAGGAGAGAGCAAATGGCCAAGGTGGAAAAAAATGGCATCCAGGGAACAGGTGATTCAGGACAGAAGAGGCAACAGGGTTCCTAGGATGGCAGTGAAGGGAAGATCCAGGACAACAGCTGGGCATTAAGGGGCCTGGAGGGCAACTGGGCAAGAGCAAGAAGGGCGGGGCTCCAGGAGGACGGCCCCCTTTAAAACCCAAAGCCAGCAGGTGCCCTGGGTGGAGGGTTTCTTTTTTCTATTCAGATTGAAGCATTGGGAAATAAATTAATGATAGATACACAAAACACAGAGCAAACCAAAAAGCATGACAAGTAGTAACCAGAGGAAAAACAAAGCTGAACAAGGAAATGCAGTCTTGGGACACTGTAAGGCCCAGCCTTGAACATTTACACACACGAATGCACACACTGAATGCAGATTTGTAAAAAATTATGACCTAGTTACTTTAAAAAGATGAAGGAAAGAAAACTGTGTGTGTGTGTAGTTGGGAGGCAACATATCTAAATCAAACCTTCCACAGGAGTCAGCCACTATGTTAACACTACAGAAAATTAAAAACTCAAGAAACAATAGTACAAACATATGTTTAGGTTATTCTAGAAAAAGAAACGAGTTTAAAGAGTTGAAAGTACGTGACCTTGGGAGTGAGGAGTTGGGGCAGTTTTGTGTTTCAACCGTACGCAGGTGTTACTTTAATAAAAGTAAAATTTTAGTTACTTTTATTAAAAAGCAAATGTCTGTGTGATGCCCAGCAGAGAGCCTGGCTCTGAGCTAGCCTGTGCCACGGGCTGGATGGGTCTGAAATAAGAGATCTCCAGCATGGTTGATTCCTGTCCCTTCCTGGGTCTTGGGACACTGAGGAGGAAGGGTGGGCAGGGGAATGAATGGGGGGCTCTTTTTGAATTTTAAGGGACACACCCCACCAGCAACTCTACAGGGGTAGCTCTTGCAGGCAGCTGTTAGCACCTGGATGAAAGCACAAACGGAGAGGGTACAAGACAGAGCAGAGGTGCGGGAAAGGGCCAGGCCAGGGCCAAGCCCACCGACGCAGACCCTGGACGCAGATACTGCGAGCTGGTGAGCTCAAGGGCAGCCTGAACTTCAGAGCAGCTGCTGTGCTGTTTGCAGACTCCCTCGGAGAGGCCGAGCGGATAATAGCGTTGCTAGGAGATGTGCTTCACAGGGCGGCTGGCTTCCTGCGAGGACCTTTCCAGGGCTGGGAGGAAGGTTGGGACAGGCAGGGCCTGAACAAAAGGGCTTCTGGAGTAGGGGGAGCCACCAACCATCTGCTGCCGCCGCTGGGGCGCAGGGCGAGGATGGTGCGGAGGCTCCCTGGCTGTGTCCCCCTTTCTGCCACAAGCCCCAGTCCTCAGGGCCCAGCAGAGAAGAGAGCTGATACATACCCCTCATCATGCAGGAGAGCCCCTCTCCCTTGGCAGAGAACACCTTTTTGCTTCTGAAGGAACCAGCAGGCAGAGGCTGCTCGTGAGCACCCGTGCACGGCCAGCAGCTGAACGGAAAAGGGTGCTCAGCCCCACCTTCCCCATCCCCAGCTCCCCAGGTGTCCAAAGGTTTCCCTGGGGACTCAACTGCTTCCAGGAACATCGGGCACTGGAGCCTGTCATGCCCTGAGCAGGTCTCCACCCGACAGAGCCCAGCAGGGACTCCAGCCTGGGATTTCAAGGAGGCCCCACGTGGGCAAACATAAGGCACGTAGCAGGTGTTTAATAATATTCCTTATTCATTCCCAAAATCGGAAGGAGTGAGCACCCATCACGTCTCCGCCCGTTCCTGCTCTCAGGGAGCTGACAGTCCTCACAGGGACGGAGCAAACCAGGCACGCACACTGTCTGCACTTAACTGCAAACCGCAAATCATGGTGAGGCCTCGAGGATGCAGACAGGGCGCTGGGAGCAGGAGAGATGGGGAAGGCCCTTCTGAGGAACCACTGGAGTCAAGATGAAGGAGGAGGAGGAGGAGGCGGCACAGGCGGGAGAGGAGCTCTGCAGGCACCCGGGAAACCCAAGGGCCCAGGTGGGCAGGAAAGGAGGCTAATGCGGCCATAGGGGCGGGTGAGGCGCACTCTGTAGGCCTGTTAGGTGCCTGCATTTCCTCCCCAAGTCCAAAGGCCTTTCCTGTGCCCTGCGGGTCCTCAGGGACACACAGGTTCAAAGAGGGACAGGAAGAGAGACTGGATTCTTTGGGTATGAGCATGCTTCACCCCAACATCCACAGAGCCCAGGGCCACAGGCAAAGCCCTCCCGCATCTGGGAAGCAGACAAGCAGTCATCAGAACTTTCTAGCCACGACATAAGGAAGACCAAACCTGGCACTAGACCCCAAACCAGCGGTGCAGGTACAGGGAGGAAACAGGAAAACAAAGGACCATCACAGGAGGGTGGGCATCAGAGCAGGGATCTTGAGTTCAAGGGCCCTCCTCCCCATCCCTGCTGGCCTGTTTGCGTGCGGGCCCAAGCATCACTGGCCTGTGACCTGCCTTGGGGCCTCTGGCCTCTCCCTCCTTCACCCACCCACCACCTGCAGATTTTCTAACCTGCAATTTCTAATTGAGTCCTACTTTTGTGTATCACCAGTAAAAAGGAAAATCTAAGTGTCTCCATGTGTCCTGCAAGGCTGGGTATGACCCCATTCTTGCCTGCTGGTGCAACCCCCTCCAGCCGCTGGCCCCTCCTCCAGCCACGGCCGGCCCCCTGCACAGCTCCCAGCACATCCCAGCCAGGCACGCTGGGACTCCTCCCTGCCCAGAAGGAATGCTCATCTGCAGCACCTCCTGACAGACACCGACTCCTTCTCTAAGTCCCAGCTCCCCGCCCTTCCCAGGCCAGGGCCACTAAGTGAGAGAGCGTCCCCAGCTCTCGGAACTGAGAAATAAGACCCAGGTGAGGGTCCCTGCTCCCAGGTATCTGTGGGGGTGTTCGGGGCCACACCACAAATCGCATCAGCAGGCGAAGCTCTGGCTACACATGTGCTGGTAGCTGGGGAGACACCCTGAAGGGAGTAAAGAAGTGATGGGCGGCCCCTGAGGGAGGAAGCCGGGAAGAGGGGTTTCCGGCTTCCGGACCAGGGGGTGTGCAGCCCCCAGCCCAGCTTCACCCACCCCTTCCCAGTGCCCGCCCCTTGCTGTCCTCACCCTCGTAGCAGTCGCGCACGGTGCCGAAGTACACGTAGTACTGGTCGTTGGTGAAGAAGAGGAGGCTGAGCCAGGAGTCGAAGGCATAGATGGGCACGATGAAGAGGATGCGGACGATGTAGCGCTGCTCATTGGGGCAGCTGTAGCAGCGAAGGTGCATGTAGATCTGGGGGCAGAGGGAGGCCGGTCAGCCAGAGAGCCCAGCCCTCGCCTGAGCCCGCCTCTGCCCTTCTGCTCCAAAGGAGGAACCCAGCCCAGGGGTCAGGGACAAGCTCTGTAGAGCCCTGCCCTCACTTGCTAGGTGACCCTGAGCTTCAACATCCTTCTCTAAAGTGCGATGACACAACTTCTGCGGTGAGGGTGTCGTGAGCATCAAATCAAGGGGTGCATGAAGCCTGGAGGCTGAGTGTGGCAGTGCAAAGACCACGCCCAAGACTGCAAAAAAGTCAGAGACGTGCAGGGATCCACAGCTATAACAAGCTCCCTGGGGACCCCATACACAGCCAGGGCTGGGCACCTCGGGTGCGTGGTGCAAAGGAGGCTATGAACAAGCATGTGCGTGTCCCTCCACCCACCAGGCCTTTCTAAATACCTGGCCCCTGGAGCGTGGAGCTAAAACACAGGTGTCCAGGTGGTCGCCCATCCCACCCCATCCCTTAACTAACTTATGGTGTGGAGGACGGAACAGACGGGACCCTCGCTTCCACGGGAGGTGGAAGCACTTCCTGGCTGAGTGGCTGCAGTGATGTCCTCATCCTGTGTCTCATTTTCCCATCTGTTGAACAGAGGCAGCGCTGCCTGCCTCTCTGGGAAGTTGGGAAAATGAAATGCGGTTTTTAGAAAGCCAGGGAAAAAATTAAAAGCTACACACAAATGCCAAGAACTGCTCTAGCCACGATGCACAGTCCCAGCAGCCAGAGTCTCTCGTCCCGGCTCCCATGACTTCATGCTTGGCCCAGCGGAGCCCTGGGCTCGGGCGGAAGAGAACAAAGTCCTCCCCATCTGCTGTGAGCCAACCGCCCTGGAAGTAGTAGGGTTCTAGAAGGGACGGGGAACACTGGGACTGCAGCAGGCTCAGCATTCCCTCTTCGCTGGGCAACCTTCAAAGTTTCTCCTTCGGGCAGCCAAGCACGTCCCAGCCCACAGCAGCCTCCCCAGGGACGGCTAGCACAGGGGGACGGGAGACTTGACTTCTATCCCAGCTCTGTCCCCAGCTCATACGCAACTAGGCTAGTTCCCCCACCCTCCTCCCTCTCTGGGTCTCTATTTCCTCATCTGCAAAGGGGTCACTGACGTCCTGTGTTCCCTCACAGCTCCCAGACTCCCCTGCAGCTTAGGCAGGACATGTGACCAGTTCTAGCCCATGGAAGGTGAGCAGGAGGGACAAGGGCCATTTCTGGTTGAGGAGGTGAAATACCCAGAGTTTCTTCCACACACACCCCCCTCCTTGCAGTTGTCAGACGGATGATGCCGTGAAGCTCAAGATACTGGAGCCACAAACGGAACCTGACTTGCATGGGGCTGGGCTGAGCAAGAAACTGGGTGAAGCCCCTGAGGTTTTGGGCTTATTTATTATTGCAGCTTAGCCTGCCCTGGCCCAACTAATACTTTGTTGGAAGACAAACTTCTCAGGACTCCCCCTAGAGGGCTGGGGTCGCTGGCTCAGGGGCTCCTGCATGGCCTGGGTACCTGGTGGCAGGTGATGAGCAAGGCTGTCCAAACAAAGAAGCCAGAGATGGCCTGCGCAGCGGTCGTCATCAGAAACACAGGCTGCTCCATGGCTGTGGGGCTGCCCTCAGGGATTGCAGAGACGCTGGGCGAGGCTGCTGCGGTCGTGGGTGACGCTGGATCCGGGGCCAGCACGGCCCCCCTCACGGTCATGGTGCCCAGCAGCAGGGGCTCCCTGAGAGAAAGCCTTGGAGTAAGGGATGAGCTGGCCTAGAGAGAGGGAACCGCAGTGTTAGCCTACTCCCAGCGTCAGTGGTGGCATCATTGGAAAGAACCTTCCAGGTCTCTACATGCACCTTCAAAATGTGACCAGGCCCTGACCACATCTCACTCCAGCCCCCAGCATGTCTCCCCTGGATTAACGACACAAGCTCCTGATCAATCTCTCTGCTTCTGCCCTTGCTCCTGCTGTCCACACACAGCAGCTGTGTGAAACTTACTAAGACATTAGCCATTTGGGCCCCTCCTTTGCTCAAACCCTCCAACAGCCCCCAGCTCCATCGGGGTATAAGCTGCTGTCCTTACAGAGGCCCACGAGACTGCTGGATGGGCCCTCCATGGCTCTTTGATCTCAAGTCCCACTTCCATTCTCCACTCCAGTCACACTAGCTCCTTGAACATGCCAATCCTGCTCATGCCACGGGGCCTTTGCACTGGCTGTCTCTGCCCAGCTACACAGCTAGCTCCCACACTTCCTTAAGATCTCTGCCCTGACCACCTGCTCAAACGTGGCAAACCCTCCCTCACCCCAGGCGCTCCTGATCTCTTTGGTTTGCTTTATTCCCATCCAGAATACTCATTAACCACCTGACTCCATCTGACAAACCATACATTACTCATGTGTTAACTCTGCCTCCTGCACCAGACACAAGCTCCCTGAGGGCAGGGGCTCCGTTCTGCTGTGACTGGATCTCCTGCAGGCACACAGTAGGTGTTCGGTAAATACCCACCAGCTCCACGCATCTTTATACCTCCTGGTCTAGCAAGATCATTTTAGCACTGAGGCAGCTCTTCTAGGGAGGTGTGTCTTGTCTTTGCCGTTTCTCCCTCGTTTCCCTGACGGCTGACAGCCATTCCTCACCATCCAGCTGTGCTATTTTGGAGACTTAGTGGCCCTTCCCACCTTCAAACTGCTCACCTTTTAATTTAGCTCATGCGTAACTCTTCCTAAAAGCCTGCCTTGTGCACTTTCTGCAATCAGGTACTTGCATCCATTTTGCCCGCTTCTATTGTTCTACATAAAGCGCGGCTCTGTCATTTGGTCCTGTTTATCCTCCTAAGAACGCCCACTCTTTGAGGCAAGACCATAGTTCCACCTTTAAACCCCAGCACCAAGCTCAGCACCAAGGCCAATTTATAACATTTACTTTATTATCCACTGCTCTTCACCCTTTATTTCAAAAGGAAGTTGAGGTACTTCAGAGAGGAGCAAAGTACAGAGTTGAGGAAGTCAGCATAAAGGAAGATTCCAGGTGGGAAAGTAAAGATGGGAGTGGGCGGACACAGGACAGCACTCCAGGGTTCGCACAGTTACCCCAGGTGGGCTGTCACATCGGCCCCACACTTCCTGGTGGCAACTTCAGTCCCTGGGGTAACAAAGTAATGGTTTCACGCTAGAAGGTAACCCAGATGTTTCAAGGACGAGCTGTTGTTAGGGTTCTCCGGGCAAGCTTACAAACAGGGACCAATGCCAGGCCGGGGGCTGGAACCACCTTCAAAGAGCAAAGCCATTCCATCAGGACCACCTAGAATTGCTCCTCAGAGGGCTGGCCACTCCTGCATCCATGGGCTTCCAGGACCCATGTCCTGTCAGAAGTCCCTTTCAGTGCTGCCACCTGTTGACAGGTTGGGCAATGCCACCCTAGGGTGATGGAGTCTCCCTGCAGCAAAGACCCTGGAAGAGTACCATGCAATGGACTAGGAGAACATCCAACCACTGATGCAAACAGATGCAGAGCCAAGAGCGGAAAGAACCCTGGCCAGAGGTTGAGCCTCAGCTTCACCCCGACCAGCCATGTGCCTGCACAAGTTCCCCAGGCCCCAGAGGGTCTCCACTGCCTGACCCAGAAAATGGCCAAACCGCCAAACCCAGCCATCTCAGCCTGAACCCTGATGACCTCTCCCGGTCCCTCCCAAGTCTGAGCTGATATTCTCAACCACAACATTATGACACCAGTGGGAGGTTTCCCTGGGCCTTCCCTGGGTGCATCCGGCCCGACCCCATGATGAAGAAGAGGCTCTTTGCCCACTCTCTCCCCAGCCCCGGCCCCTTTCCAGCGCCTCCAGCACCTTCTGCCCCCTAAGCCATGTCTGCTCTTAGCTTTAAGTTTTTACCCTTTACATTTCTGTTTTCCTATGAAAAATAAATGATCTCTAACACACTGATCAAGAGAAGAATCTAGATTAACAACTCAAACTAGAGAAAGCATCTATATAAAGAAATTCCAAACTGGAGAAGGTGTCTATATAAAGACTGGTGGCGCTTTGAAAAAGAGACACAGTGACAAGTCTAAGAATAGTTCCTGTAAGTATGGTTGCAAAATTGAAAACCAGTGCCAGAAATATTTCCTAAAAAAGAAGGTTTGAGTTGTAAATCATCATCTTTGTCTATCATCCCAAATTAAATGAATAAACATGGGGAAATTGGGGGGGGCTACAGGAAGTACAAACACTCCTCGATCTTGTCCTTCTGCACAAGGGCTGGGTGCGTCTAAGGCTGTTTTGCTCTCGACTAACCGCAGTGTTGAGAGGGCCCTGTGCAGACTCCCCAGGTGGGGCGATGGCTGAGCTCTGACCCTGCCTGCCACCCCACCCTCCAGAGGGGAAACCTGCGTGGGCATCTGTTCAGAAGGGAAAGCTGGTGAAGGCTCCGCCCTGTTTCTTGCTGGGGCTTTGCTTCCTCACACTCAAGTGCCTTCTTTAAGTAGGTCATCTGTTCCCAAGAAGTCTACTCAGAGACGGTGGGTGATGCCCCCGAATTACACCCAGGACTTAAACCCAGGTCCTAGAGCACACCTTAGGTGCCTAATATCTACCAAGCGGGCCATGGATGCACCCTCCTCGGGGTTGCAGCCATCCCCCCAGAGCCCTGAGTCTTCCTGCAGGAAGGGGAGGGAGGTACTTCCCAGGAGGGGAAGCCACAACCTCGGTAAGACTTCTGCAGCCTGACCCGCTCTGGTCACGTTTCTGTGCTGGGGCCCCATGATTTACAAACCATTTACTTCACTTTCAGGCAGCCCTCACTGTTTACAAACCATTTTCCCCAACATGATCTCATGTTTTTTCTCACAGTAACTCTGAAGTAAGTAACATTATCTCCATCTCAGAAATGAGGAAAACGATGTGGAACTGGGTTTTACAGCTTCTTGGGCTAGTACCAAATGACTTGAGGGTTTTCATAATATGCCCCCCAAATAGTTGATGCTCTGACTCAGATGCAGGTTTCCCAGCACCCAGAGAGGCAGGTGAAGGCGGCTCCTGGTAGGCTGTCTCCCACAGCTCACCCTGCTCGCAGGACCCTAGGCAGCTCACAGCAGTAGAAGACCCCGCAAACTTCACAGGGTGGAGTGCTGGGGGCAGAGGATGACACCAGGGTCCCATCCTCTCATACTGAGGACAGGCACCAACCTGGGAAGGATCTTTGCCTGCCCGGGTCCCACAGGCAAGCAGGATGCTGGCCTGGTGGAGCCCTGGACTTGGCAGAAGTAGGGATTTGCTCCCCGGAAGATCCCCCATGGATCCCCTTCCCTATGTGGTCCACACACCCCAGAGGGGAGACCATGCAGGATGAAGCTCAGAATCCCAGATGCTCTGGCAGGTCCCCTGTATTTTCTCAATCGACTACATTAAACTTCTGCCAGGGTCGTGGCAGAGAGCCTGAGGGGAGACACTGGAGTCACCTTTCCAACAAACACGCCCAGAGGCCTCTGGACGCTGTGCTGGGCATGGAAGATCCAGCCTCAGCCTCAAGGACTCACAGCTCCTCTACACAACAGGGGTACCTGGAGGCCTTGCCCCACCACCCTGTGCAAGAGGTGAGTGTATAGATGTAAGAGAGCCCTGAGAAAGCACCAACTGCCTTGGCCAAGGCCAGGGAGAGGGTCAGGGAAGGCCCCAAAACGGCAGGGACTTTGGGGCAGTCTCTCCAGAGAGTAACCAAGCTCCAGCTGTGAAGTCACCGAGCAGGGTTCCTGCCAGACTCCACTGCCTGCGAGCTGACTTCACCTCTCAGGGCGTCAGTTTCCTCACCTATAATATTTGAGGCTGACCACATCATTGACGAGGGTGTGTACTGCTTTACACAAGTCCCATTAATAAATGGAGACAGAATGCAGCCAAAAAATTGCAACTCCTAACACAAATAACAGACATAGATAAGGCTCATTAATGGATGAAAAACCACTAGGTGAGTGGCTGACGGGGGACTTGGTAAGGGATGGAGCAGGCAGCACCCTCTGAAGCCACAGTCAAGATCAACGTCACCAGAAAGGGGCCACCAGAGATGTCAAGCCTCCTAACGGGGTGCACAGGAACCAGACAGCACCACCTAGGAAGGACTCTTACCCAAAAAGTGATAACATGTTTCTCGAACTCACCACCAGTGTCCAGGATACACAGAGGGTAGTGGGACAGATGAAATGATACCACAAGGAAGCAGCAGCCAAAGCCAGGCCATGGGACAGTCTATAGGACAAATGACCCAATTTCTTCAACGAATTAGTGGCTTATAAACAAAGGTGGCTGAGGAGCTGTTATGGAACAAGAGGCCAAGGAGACATTACAATGAAATGCAACATGCGGATCTTGTTGGGTCCTGATGAGAGCAAACCAACAATTAAAAGAAGACATCACTGGATAAACAACAGGGTCCTCCTATAGAGCACAGGGAACTATATTCAGTATCTTGTAATAGCCTATAGTGAAAAAAAACATGAAGAGGAATACACATATGTGTAACTGAATCACTGTGTCGTACATCAGAAATTAACACAACATTGTAAACCTACCACAAAGAAGACGACGACAATGACGACGATGACAACGACGACATCTTTGAAATAGAAAGTACACAAGAATTCTTGCCAATTCTGTTAGGC